GGACTGGAAGAGGTTTTTAAACGTCGATGATAGAGTTGACGAGCTTCATTTCACAGCTCTCCTCACGTATTGGGACACCGTTGCCGCCCAAGTTAGTTTCATGAAAACTACACATGAAAACTACACTAAAACATTTCATTGCATATTTACTGAAATATATTTTTTTTAAAGAATAAATCAACGAAAGGATCACTGAATAGAAAGAAGAAGATGCATAACCACCACCTGGGCGCACACTCCTATGCCAACATGGAGGATGATTATTGTCGGGATACGATATATGTCATTTAACGCTTTAAATGGTCTTAATGCTTAGTATGACTATGAAATCTCATAAATTTATAATATGACAGGGAAGATCAAGAATGCTGATAAACTTAAAGGCAAAGTTGGCATATGCTATTTTCCGTGATCGATATAGGGATGAGGACAAGTATCGGGATAAGATCAAGGCAAATCTCGAGTTGGTGGTGAGACTAATATATAACTTAATTAGTATTATTAACTCTATTTCGTTCTTAATTCTACGAAAAAACGAGAACATAAATAATATGGTCTTTACAAAGGAATATATGACATGTGAATAATCTAACACATTGACCTAGTAGTAAACAAATTTGCAAGTAAGTTAATTTGGTATTTACCTTGAATAATTATTAAAATGAAGTTGCAACCACTTTGATATTTGTAAACTTATATTTGTGCTTTAGGAGGGTTTTGAAACTACAACCAAGGAGGTTGCAACACTGTACATATCGCAGGAGGAAGAACAAGGCGAGCCGGACCCTCACATGCTTTTTCAAGAGGATAACATCACTCTAACTCAGAACCTATTGGGACATAATAGGTAGGGATGGTACAAAATCAAATCAATTTGAATACTACGTTCTTATTTATATTTGTTTAACATTATTGAATTTGATTACAAAATCTAATATTCATTTCTCCTTAATAATAGGAGAGGAATATATCATCTGCATGGTGTTGGAGCTTCACCAAGCATAAGCATAAGATCATCCACAACATCCTCCATGCCATCTACAACAATGAGAGCAGGCCCAATCAGTTTTGAGGCTATGTCATTTGTCCTACGTGTCTCTGCGTATTTGTGCGATAAGATTGGCCCAGAGCTGCATGCTCAGGTGACTGCAGAGATAACCAGAGTTGTGAGGAGGGCCCACTCGATGGATGATGTCATGTCTTACGTTATAGAATATTTGGCTGGTGTGATTCCCTCTAGTGTGTTTGGTGGTATCATATGGCTCATAAGCTCGGGTGTTGATAATTCCGGCGTTAGGCAAAGCAGTGCTTAGGTATCTTATTTTTTCTTATATTTATAAAATCATTTATGTTTAACATGTTATCAAACACCATATAATTATTATTCAATTGGACCTTCAGGCTAGAGATATTAAAGGGAGCAGCTCTCGTCTTCATACGAGGGATAGAGATGTTGTCGACGACGATGAGATCTGAGGTTTTTTTATTTTTTTAATGTAATGAACAATTTTTTATTTGTTATAGCACTCTACTTTTTTATTCATGTCGTGTAATCTATCTTATTCATGTGTATTGCTAGTGTATATGTTGTTGGATGTATTTATTGGACATAATTGCTGGATGTATATTTTGGATTGGATGGTTGGATCTGTATATTGAAGATGATATTTGATTATATTTAGAATTGTTGGATGTATATTTGGATGGTTGGAATTGTCGGATCTATTTATTCATGTGTATATCGTAATTGTAGTTAAATGTACATGGAAAGTTGTTTTTAAATAATTTTTTTTGCTGGAAAAAAAGCAACCTAGACGGAATTCCGTCTAGGTTGCTATAATGAAAACCTAGACGGAATTCCGTCTAGGTTGCAACCTAGATGGTTTTCCACTTTCCGTCTAGTTTGACCTATCTAAACGGAATTCCGTCTAGTTTGAGTCAAACTAGACGGAATCAGACTAGACGGACTTTTCTAAACGGAATTTCGTCTAGATTGATCAACCTTGACGGAACCGTAAGCAATCTAGACGGAAATTTCTGTCTTGTTTGCTCTTTTTTCTACTAGTGATCCTATATCCCTTCATTTGGATTGAAATCCTTTGCGGCAATGTGGCCATCCTCATCAATGCATGCCCATGCTTCAGTCATGCAGGGATAAATACATAAATCCGTGTATACTGACGCCAATATTCCACTTAAATTTGTCCTCTTAGGATGAGGATTTAAGCATCTGAGAAGTATTGATAACCGACACCAGAAAGCATAATATAATCATATCCAAAATGAATGAATAACAGCCAAAATAAGGCCACAGCCTGAACAAGCATGCTCAACCCAGATTGTTCCATGCCATGGCAGGAGATATCCTAGTCTATAGTATTTTTGCGCCTCCACATGTCATTTATTTATGTTTTTACCTCTCAGCATGCATTCTTTTTACCCTTCATAGTGAATAATTGGCAACATGGTGTGGCTGTTGTCATAAATGCACAGCCCATGCTGCTTTCTAGCTTGCAGGGACAAATACATGAATTCATGGATACTGAGACACTGACCTATCTTCATATCACACATTATTTCACTGCAATTCCCTCCATTTTTAGAAATTTATCGTCTTTGAATATGTAACTAGACAACTGAGCATTATCTGATAACTCAAGATACTTCAAGGAGCATATTATAAGAGAGCCGAACAAGCAAAGTTCCAAAAAGATAAATGTTAAGACTTGCTGGAGATGTTGCCCATCTCTAGCTTTGTTCTTCTCTATGTTACTTATGTCCTATAAATATCTCCACTGATAGCAACCATTATCAATATATATACACCAAACAGACCAATTCTGGGACTTCTTAGATCCTGCTTAATATCACTGATTCCTGAAAAAAATATACACTAGTAAGAAGACTTGTTCAAAATTTCCTCTCTATTATCACTGCTTACCCTTTAAACTTGAGAATGTTGGGTCTTAAACCAAAGTGCCATAACCACATAGATGTAGCCAAAAATAAGCCATGTATTTCCCTTTGACATTTTTTATCTGCCATAATTGTCGCAGACGGTTTCAAATCTAACATAATTTCTGTTCTCTGTATATGTAAAAGTGTTGCAGGTGCTCCTTTGTAGGTTCATAAAGGTTAGAATCGATGCAAAATTTTTAGACCAGTATAGCAAGCCTGAAATGCTTGTGTGATATCATCACGTAGAGCATTGCCTATTATAATCCTTTACTCTTCCTTGTTCATTCAACCATGGTAAAGCACCAAATTCTATCAATGGTATAAGTGAGACAAGCACCTCTACTCCCAGAAAATATGAACTCTGTTACAAAAATGGAAACATGAAGAAAGCAAGGAATTCAGCTAATTTTCCAGCTGCATGAACAATAATGCTAAATACCATGGACAAGAGGGCAGACGAGGTTCTGACATATCTCCTTGTCGTTCATGAATAATTTGTTAATTTCACTAAACTTTATGAAGGCAATTCTATATATAACACATTATTTGAGGAATTATAATTTTTTCTAGAAATTAATGAATTGAAAATTTTGTGTCCGCTTCTGTGTCTGCCAAAAATCTCGCTACAACACCTTAACATTTAACAATTCCCATTAGGTCTCTCCTCATGATCTCAATAATTTGTGGTGAGCTGATGATGAGCTGAGTTCAATGTACTAGCATTAGGCATTGTTTAAGCCTACGCATGAAACAAGAATAGGATGAAAATAAATTGGTTTTGGTTACTCATAGGAACTCATATAGTTAATATTATTCAGTGTAAAAGCAAAGGCAATACATGCTCACACATGTCGTCTCGTAAATGAATCTTAACAATGTTATTAGCAACATAAACAAAATTTCAGTGTAGTGTAGCACTCAGCAAAGTGACAACATCATATAACGGATTATCAACTTATCATCAATTATCATCATATAATCTATATATATCATACATGTATTATTTTGCAAGATGGACAAATGCTAATATTGATAACCTATATCATAAAAAATGCATCCTTGTTTGATGTTCTCCAGTTCTTTATGAAATGATTCCTCCCCACTTGTATGTCAATGAATGACAATTTAGGGAGCACAGGTGCATAGCTGAAAGAAAAGTAAAAATACAACAACACATAAAGTAAGGACTTCATCTCAGCTCAACAGTTAGGAGCCAGTTTACATATAATGCATAGTAACAACAGGAAAAACAGCAACAACAACAGCAACACCAACAAAAACAGCAAGAACAAAGCATTTATCCCAAATTTTTGGCCAGCTACATGAATCTTGTTATTCTATTCTGTTCTGATGAGGGTTTATCTCCTCCGCAAAATTAATCATTATCGTGGTTTTCAAGTGCTTCAAACCAAGCTCTTCTAGGCCTTCTAGGAATTCTCGTAATTGGTCCATTTACCACTATATTAAGATACATCTTTTAATTTAGAACAGTTTCTCACACTATTTGAACTCATATGTCGCATGTCTTATGCACTTCAAAGTTCATTTTACATGTTTCAGATGTCTAGTAACTTCCTATTTATGCACCAAAAACTAGTGAAAAAATGTTATCAAAATAATGACTTGTACAAAACTATGATACGTTTTAATACATAAAGCCATTTCGTGTAAGCTTGAAGAGCCAACTCTTGCCATAAAATTAATGGTAAATCAAAACTTTAGCAAATATGTAATCATTATATGTTTTATAATATTAAAGTAAATCTTTAGTCGCTTGGGTCCATCAACATGTGCATGAATGTATGTATAAACCCTTACTTTACTATTATTATAGATATTCTAACATCACCTTGTTATGTCCTATGTGTCCATATAGTACATGTGTCTTGTTGGAAGCGCGAGGCGCTCGTACCGCCACGGAAGCTAATTAATCCCGAGAGAAACAATCCTAGTTTAAGTTTATGCCAAACTCGAACTAACCAACACAAGCAATAAGTGACTACACAGATAAACAGTAAGTAAATGAGGCGGGACAACAGATATACGTGGTTCGGCAAACTTGCCTACGTCCACGGGAGCCACACAATTTAATTTCTTATTTAACCACAAGACATTACAAAGCTTATAAAAGTGAGAATCTCAAAATAGAGCTCTCACAACACCAACTTCCTTCACTGTAGTAAATGCTACAGGAATAATACATTTTTTCTTAACCGAAAAAATTGATTCTCAAATCCGAGAATATCCGCTGGAGTTAAAGCTGCCTGAGTTGAACTCCCAGCCGCCACAAAGAAATTTTTCTCTCTGTAAAATTCGTTGAAGATTGGCTCAACAGCTCCGTGTACAGGGTTTCCCTTTTATAGGGAAACCCTAGGGCAATTGGTGCGGTCCAGCTGGATTCCACCCACGCAGGCGAGATCCAAGGTGACAGGCGAGATTCTCCCCTTTCACGCGAGTTCTTCTCCACGCCCGCAGGCGATTTCCACACCCCAGTGACAGGCGATTTCAGCCTCGCCTTTGTCGCTCTGGCGAGTCCTCGATGCCCTCGCCTCCACGCTCTGGCGAGCCCACGAAGCCGACGCCGACCGCTGCCTCCGCCTCCGACGATAGCCGTCGACGAACCGTCGAGGGTTCCGATCTCCGTCCTCGTTGCCCCCTCGCCGTCGCCGTCGATGGCTCCGATCTCCGACGAGGTAAGTTCTTCTACATGTCTCATGTCCATGTCCATGATATTTAGTAACATACACTTAAATAAGAATTGGAGACACAGAAGGGTACGAAAATGACACGCATGAGTTCTAAGACAAGGATGGGGACTGCAACTATGATTATCATTTTTACCTTAGATGGAAACCTATTCCTTCTTTCGATTCAAAGCATTGGATGTGTTGTCTCAACTTTGCACTGCCCAACCTTCTTTGCAGTTGTCAAACAGAAATAGATAGAGCCATTTCAAGAAGAAAATGCAACAAATTCCTCGATTAAAACACATGCAGATTAGTGTACCTGAAATATAAATGTAGAAAATCCTTTAGTGAGCATATATCTTATGGCCAAAGACGAGGTAGTAGAACAAATAGATTTTGAAGTATCTGGAAGACCAAAACAACCCTGTCTATCAACCATCTAAAATGACAAATTAAATACTGGTATAGTACCTCTAACAGAACTGAATGGAAGCATAGGATTCATGTATAAAATTTGGAATAAAGACAATTTGGGACAAATGATTTTTTGTTGTTATAATACTCCTTACAACAAACAATACCAGAAAGTTATGACTTCAGCACGCAAACGTCTGCAATTGAGCCTGATGATTAGTAAATAATCAAATCTCGATAATACTTATATCAATAGCATAGTGCACACAGGTTATAAATTATTCCACCCTACTATTGCAAAATAATAAAGTCGACGACTTTCAGGCTTGACCAATGCATACAAGAAAATGCTGCAAGCATTTCTGGATAAGCCCTTTAAGCTGTTATCAGAAAATCAAAAACCCTGCAGCAAAAGTATTCCAACAGTGGGCTCAACAAACTCAGTTTAAACAAGCTAAACTTCAAGAATACCTAAAAGGTCTCCATGAAGAGGATTTCAACAGTTACCTGTTAACACAAACTTCTAGAAATAAACTGAAAGTGCAGAACCTAGAACTTAGAGCAGGTATAAGATAAATACTCTAGATTATCAACGAAGAAAAAAGACACAAGATCATGTGTTTCATTTTCAAACAGGATTTTTCATCTGATATCAGAATATCAATGTCGACATAAAATTTCCCAGGCCAAAAGACGGATGCCTGAACATTAAGGTCTAGCAATAGCACACAATAATGGACAACAGCTATCTTCCAAATAATGAAAAATGACAGCTAGCTTCGTTACCAGACGGTTACTGCATAGAACACAAGGACTAACACAGTCACTGCATAGAATATAATGACTAGCACGGGCTTTTAACATAATGAAAGCCTCCATATACATAGAACCTTAAGTTCTATCAAGATAGGCATCACTACATAGCTATTTCTTGGTGGTTGTGTGTGCACGTGCGCGTGTGCATGTTCCCGCTTGCATGAGGTTGCGTTGTGCATGTGTGTGTGTGTGTGGTGCACGTGTGTGGGGTAGGGTGGGGGCTTGGGGGTGTATATTGTATTAAATATCGGCCGATATATCGCTATACAGCCGATATATCAGTTTTGATGCCCTTCCGATACAATATTTATGAGAAAATATCATTTTCTAATTTTTACCACTTTTTCCGATATATTGGATATTTCATTGAGGAACATCGGCCGATATTGGCTAATATGCAAATGAAAATGGTTATTGAGTTTGGGTTTGGTTTTGGTTCCCATTAGACACGAAAACTTAATAAATTCCCAAACCTAAATACCTTAAATCCCTAGTCAATCTCATATTTCTCCTCCCTCTTCGTTTGGCATTGCAGCTCAAAAACACTAGGTGATCTCATGTATGAATCGCTCTCCTCTCTCTCTTCTCCAGTTCTCTCTCTCAGCACCTCCTCTGACCTCTCTGTCTCTCTTCCTCTCTCGTCTTTCTCTATCTTCCTTCTCTCTCTGTCTTCCTCTCTCTTCCTCTGTCTCTTATGTTCATGTCCTCTCTCTCTCTCACCTCTACCTATATCTAATGTCTCTAGAAGTCGTATATCATTAATCATGATGCAGTTTCTGTTTAGAATACATTAAATGTGTTTTGGTTACATATTACAATGTTATGTTACATATGAACATTATTCGATATGTTACATTATGTGTGTGTGGATGTGTGCATGTTTGGGTTGGATGGGGATGTGCGTGCGTATGTGTGTATGCGTGGGGTGTGTGTGTATGTGTACATATATAAAAAGCGATGTAAAGGGAACCTACCTCCCAACCCCTAAAACCAAACAATATCAACACCCAAAAGTAAGCAGATAAACAAACCAAAATGTTGTATTTCTTGACATGTCTTTTCACATCTGAATAACAACTATAAAGTTAAAATCCAAGAAATTATAAAAAACCTGACTATCATAAACATGAAATGAAGGAATTCAATAGGTTCGCTTAGTGTCATTCAGAATCTAAAAAATCTTCGAAAAGCTGCCAAACTGTTTACTGGAATTTAGAATCTGTTAGGCTTTAATGGTACCTAAGCTACATGGATACGGGTACCGATACAGAACAAGAAAATTTTATAAAGGTAGGGTACGAGAACACGACTATAGATACGTGTATATGTAATAATAATTTTACATTAGATAAATATTATCTTTTATTTTACGTGCTATGAATTAAAATTCCTATGACATTTATGCGTACGTTCATAGTATAGACCTATTTCAATTTTTAACTTGATATCCAAAATACCCTTTATGATCATAGTTTTTAACTGTTATGGATTGAAATGAACCCAATTTATGACCAATGAGTTTCAAGAACTGCACGTGAAGTGAAGCACATATGTCCAATAAGCATAGGACGAGTGTTTTAAATTGAAACATGTGTTATATAATTGAGTACACATTTGATGTATGCAAGAATCCAAAGAGTGTCCACTCATGTTTCAAGAGTACGACACGGCTACAGCTCCAAAAAGAAGTACCCATGCAACATAGAATGCCACTAACTAATTGAGATTACAAATAATGATCATGAAATGTGCTAGCATGGAGGTCATTTTACAGACAGAGCTATGAATCGCCTATCATCTCTACCGCATGTCACAAATATCATAAGACATAATCCAACTAAATAAGGAACCCATGCTCTATGACTGGTGGAAGTATCATACACCCAGATAGAACAACAAAGGATCAAACACATCCTAGCCAGCAAATTGACAATCATGGACTTACAACTGCACAGAAAATGGAAGATTCTTAAAATTACCGCTGAAGAATGCACGAAGTAGAATATACAATAAAGTCGATATTAGTGATATAAATAACATCTCAGAAAATTTAGTTAACTGCACCATTTAACATGGGATTATCACCAAAGAAATTATAAATGCCATGTAAAAGTTCCTTTTCTCAACAATCCTTCCACTACAATACAGTGTTAGCTACTAGGCAAGTCTTACTAATTCCAGTGATGGACGCATGGACGCATTTACTTTCTTTGTTGATCAAGGACAGGTTAAACTTCTGGAGGAGCAAAAGCTGGAGATTCGACAAAGTGAAATATTCACGTGATTCGACAAAATGAATATTCACGTCTCTGCAAAAAACAGGTATATAGCGAACAAGTACCAAAAACTGACAATTAGCACCCCTGCAAATGAAATCACTACAGTAGGTAATATTTCAAACTCCTTAAAAGAAACTAATAGGTAGAAACACTGGGTAATCACCTGCTAATATCCATATGGAATGCAGGAACATTTTTGTAAGGGGTGCAGTAACATCAAAAAATAATAATTGTCGATTGTCATGGTTAAAACTTAGCAAACGCCAACCATAAAATAGGAAAGCAGATAAATTGACAGTAGTGTATGTCAGTTTCAAAATTAAATATGAATAGAAGTTTATTAATCTCAGAAACCTGAGGCTTCAGATCCTTCCTACAAGTGAACCTATAGAAGCCAATTTTATTTCAAGTTTATGCTTATCGTGGTCATTGTCGTTCTGTAGCAGTGGCCATCTCAGTTACCCCAACACCTCGGCTGGGCTCTCATATTTGTGTCTGACACAGGTTCACCTCTGGCACTCCTTGGACACTACTTGAATATGCATACATTTATTGAACAGATAATGGATATGGTTAGAGAAATCAATATTTAAATTACATCTCAAAAGCAATAGTTCCAATTGGTTTTTGAACTGCTATCGACAGCCTCCTCTATAGTTCCCATTCATTCTTGAAGATAATTCCCCAATAATACACATCACATACACCCGTATGCTCACCATGGTAGACATATGGGAAGCTTAAAAGTTCCCTTGGCACAACAGTTTCAGGGCAAGCTGAAAATTAAAGAATCACTGAACCTGCCTCAAATACCTACAAGGCTACGATACTTGTTCTCTCTCCGTATACACATCATTTAGCATTCTCAAGAATATGCTGTTGATAAAGCTCTCATGTGAACATTTTTCATACTGATACTCCATAATGTTTCTTCAAGTCAATAAAAACCAACTTTGAATCTTTCAGATCCTTTAGACCCCAACAAATCACACAAGAATGAGAATTATGAATCTTAAAACATGAGACAGAACCCTACTCACTGGCACATCCTTAGTGTTGCCTCAATGGAAAGATTGAGAAATAGAAGGTGGAAGCATAAAACAAGGCATTACTACAGAGAGGGAGCCTTTGTGTAGCCTCATTTTATCCGGCAAGCAAAACATCGAGCATGGACAGTGATTATTGCATCATTGCCGCATTGGATTTGGAAAACCCCCACTTGGCTTGTCATATCTTGGTGTTGAAAGTGGAAATAAAATAGAAATTTTGAATTTTGTTGTTATAACACATTTAACTGCTCCGTGCTCTTTTAATCACAAGTACTTTCTTCGAGAGTAATCTCTCACTCTGCAATTCTTTATTCACTTCCAGTTGTCAAACAAACCCTTAAAGTTATAGCATATGTCACGATTAGGTATATTACTTTTTTTACCTCAAAGATTCAGGCAGTACTCTCCATTGTCTGCTAACATTTTTAATCACAAGAAGTACTTTTTACTTCAAATATTCCAGTTGCCAAATCGGCAATCTTAAATACCGAATCACCCTCTCCAATGTCTAATGGACATCCCCGTGATAAGCCTTTTTGATGAGTTCTTAAGTTAAACAAGTAACAACAAAGGAACCTGACCTCGTTTCAGATCATGCATGCAAATGTCACACCTCAAGGCTCAAACCAATGTGTTGTCTATGGGATCTTTATGAGCTATCAGTTAATATGGAATCTTTATGAATTTTCAGTTAAGATGAACAAATACAAACAATTTAAATTAAGACTCTATTTCATATCAACATCTGTCCATTTCAAGTTATGTGCATGATTCATGAATATGGATATTCAACATCTGTCCATTTCAAGTTATGTGCATGATTCATGAATATGGATGGTGATAAACTACTTGAAATGTCCATTATAGATATCAATTAACTGAATACATATAAAGACTAAATACTACGTTTTGCAAATAAAATAATTATTTAAAATTTTTGCATATAAAACGCTCGAGATATGTTATGTTTTGCAATTAAAATAACTATTTAAAGTGTTTTGCATATAAAACACTCGAGATATACTTCTTGGACTTATATCTTGCAATTCACTTCCACTTCCTACATCTTGTTGGACACAGGCTAGGTTCGTTGAACGCATGTCCAGTTCAGGCGTATGGTTTTCAAGGGTCATTTAGATATCTATTTTTAAAAACGAGCATATTTTCAATTTACAATCTATTTAATAAATGAAACATAAAAATACTATGGGGATATCAGTTTACACAACATTTGAATGAGAAAATAAAATCAATCTCACGTAAATTATTAATATCAATATACACAACCGTGTCCCCATATCCTACCTTCTACAAATTTGTTCGTCCCATACCTGCACCTGTGTAACATAGTGGCCATTATAAGTTGTATCTCACATTATTCAGATCACCTTTATGTTTGAGAAACAGATCATCATAGTTACAAACAAAAACCACACCATGCAACAGAAGATTTTCTAGTGTCCCATCTAATTGAACTATCAACATAGGAACTGTTATAAACAAAACAGGCTTCATACTTTAGGAGAATGCAATTAAAAATAGAACGAAGAAATGCATGAAACTGTAGTTCATATATGAAAATTTTGTGTATATATATACATGTGTGTGTGTGTATAATACCCTTTATTACTATTGCAAGTACTTTCTTATTTTACAAGCATTTTTCTTAAAAGTTGTCACATCCCATAAGCATGTAACAGCAGAATATTTATGCAAAGCATACATGAACCTTGGAAACAAATGCATGAATATCTTAACTGAAGAGAACCAAGAAGCTTTCAGTATCTCAACTAAAACAACTCATCCTTTGCAGTTGGTTATCAATTCATTCAATCCATTGTATCCACTCCAAAGTAGATTGCATGTAAACGCGTGCACGCACACACACTGGCGCACGCACACACAACTAGTAACACATGGTTAATTTGTTGATTCAGTTTTACTTGAAAGTCTAAAGACTCTAAACACAGTTCACACAGGGACATCCTAGGCTTCTCCCATCAACATTATAAAGGTTATGCCATAAATTCAGCTTCCGCTTGCCACACAGACACAGTTCACAAAGGGAAAATTTCATATCTACTTCATTCACGGGCGGTAATTAACCAATTTGTTTTCCCATAGGTGAAATATGTCAAATATCAAGAACTGCAACACCCAGAAGGGGGCAATATTGTAGCAAATTTCAAACAATTAAATAAAACTCTTGAAATCACTCTAAACGACTACTTGCGACTTTTTTGGCAAGGCCGTTGAAAAGCTGAAAATCATATGATAGTCTGCAAAGAAAGAGGAAAAAAACTAATGGGAGTTCAAGGTTAAGATGACCATCCTTCAAAAGGAAATTATATGCCCATAACACAGGAAATAAACAAGAATGAAATTGCATGATAAACACTAAAAATAGTGAAATTATAATCCCATCAACAATATGTCAAGTAAAATGTTGCAGTTCACATAATCAAAATCATCACACAAGAATGAATCAGTAGCAACAAAAAGTTCATCTCCACAATAAAAAAAGATCACTTTTTATGATAACAAATGGCAAGGGCACAACAATAACCAAACAATATCAGAAAGAGAAAAATTGTTGAAAACTCACTCATATCATTTCTAAGCACTCTAAGCTTCTCTTGACATCCAGTGTCCCAGCGATAAAACTGAATCTTCTCAGTATTGGTGTGGAGATCCCTCAGATGGATCTCAAAACCAACAGATGCTGCAACCGGAAAAAAAACACCCTAAAACGCTAAAAATCAAATGAAAGTAATCTAGAAAGAACAAGATCAAGCCACCTCAGTTGATCTCGAACTTGAAGCTAGGGTAATCTAGACACCCTAACCCTAACGAACAATCGATAAACTCGAGAGAAAATTAAAAAAAAATACCACCGTTTTTTTCTTCGAAATGGGTGCTAATTGTCAGGATACATACTAATAAGAATGCATCGAACGGAGACGCTACACAAAGAATAAAGGTACAAAATCAATCACAGAACTCACACATATATGTTGTTTACTCTTTCGGAGCTACTTCACGGTGCAACGACGACGCCCAGTTCTTTTATATTCCAAAAGAATTGGATCAAAGAGAATACTCTCCCTTGATTAAGATACACTCCAAGAACTCTCACAAACCCTCTTTATGTTTTCTCTCTTACTTTTATATAAAAAGAGTTGTTTCTAGGATGAATTTTTTCTTAAGATTTTTGGGTCTATTTATAGTGTTTGGAAAAAACACTATACATAAAAAAATATTATTAGTGGAATCCGTTACTAATAATAAATTTATTGTGGGACCCACATCCTTTTTAATTCTTCAAAGAAAACGGCCACTGATTTTCCTTAAGTCAACTAAAGTGGCTGGGCGACTGACAATCTCTCACTTGAAGATTTAATTGAGTATCAATCATATCTTCATACCATCCTTGGTTGCATCATCCGGATGTCTTGTATCTTTGGCGTTTTGGACGACCCTCAACATTTTCAAGAGACCATATGAGGCTACACACAGCCTCACTTTCTCAAGCGGAACTGACTTGGTCAGCATATCGACTGGATTGTATCTCGTATCAATCTTCACAAGCTTAAACTCGTTCCTGCTTTGTCATCTCCGTATGGCATGGTGCTTCATGTCAACATGCTTGGTCTGAGCATAGAATGTGTAATTCTCTGACAAGTGAATGACACTCTGACTGTCGCAGTGGATGAAGTATTTCTCAAAGCTTACCCTAAGCTCGAGAAGAAAAGCTTTCAACCATAGCAACTCATTTGCTGCTTCTGCTGTAGACACGTACTCCGCTTTGGTTGTCGACAAAGCCACAATATCATATAACTTGGATCTCCAGCTTATCGCTCCACCACCCAAGATGAAGATATAGTCGCTCATACTCCTTCTCGAGTCTATGTTCCCGGCATAGTTTGCATCACAAAAGCCTTCTAGCTCATCACACAAGAATGAATCAGTAGCAACAAAAAGTTCATCTCCACAATAAAAAAAGATCACTTTTTATGATAACAAATGGCAAGGGCACAACAATAACCAAACAATATCAGAAAGAGAAAAATTGTTGAAAACTCACTCATATCATTTCTAAGCACTCTAAGCTTCTCTTGACATCCAGTGTCCCAGCGATAAAACTGAATCTTCTCAGTATTGGTGTGGAGATCCCTCAGATGGATCTCAAAACCAACAGATGCTGCAACCGGAAAAAAAACACCCTAAAACGCTAAAAATCAAATGAAAGTAATCTAGAAAGAACAAGATCAAGCCACCTCAGTTGATCTCGAACTTGAAGCTAGGGTAATCTAGACACCCTAACCCTAACGAACAATCGATAAACTCGAGAGAAAATTAAAAAAAAATACCACCGTTTTTTTCTTCGAAATGGGTGCTAATTGTCAGGATACATACTAATAAGAATGCATCGAACGGAGACGCTACACAAAGAATAAAGGTACAAAATCAATCACAGAACTCACACATATATGTTGTTTACTCTTTCGGAGCTACTTCACGGTGCAACGACGACGCCCAGTTCTTTTATATTCCAAAAGAATTGGATCAAAGAGAATACTCTCCCTTGATTAAGATACACTCCAAGAACTCTCACAAACCCTCTTTATGTTTTCTCTCTTACTTTTATATAAAAAGAGTTGTTTCTAGGATGAATTTTTTCTTAAGATTTTTGGGTCTATTTATAGTGTTTGGAAAAAACACTATACATAAAAAAATATTATTAGTGGAATCCGTTACTAATAATAAATTTATTGTGGGACCCACATCCTTTTTAATTCTTCAAAGAAAACGGCCACTGATTTTCCTTAAGTCAACTAAAGTGGCTGGGCGACTGACAATCTCTCACTTGAAGATTTAATTGAGTATCAATCATATCTTCATACCATCCTTGGTTGCATCATCCGGATGTCTTGTATCTTTGGCGTTTTGGACGACCCTCAACATTTTCAAGAGACCATATGAGGCTACACACAGCCTCACTTTCTCAAGCGGAACTGACTTGGTCAGCATATCGACTGGATTGTATCTCGTATCAATCTTCACAAGCTTAAACTCGTTCCTGCTTTGTCATCTCCGTATGGCATGGTGCTTCATGTCAACATGCTTGGTCTGAGCATAGAATGTGTAATTCTCTGACAAGTGAATGACACTCTGACTGTCGCAGTGGATGAAGTATTTCTCAAAGCTTACCCTAAGCTCGAGAAGAAAAGCTTTCAACCATAGCAACTCATTTGCTGCTTCTGCTGTAGACACGTACTCCGCTTTGGTTGTCGACAAAGCCACAATATCATATAACTTGGATCTCCAGCTTATCGCTCCACCACCCAAGATGAAGATATAGTCGCTCATACTCCTTCTCGAGTCTATGTTCCCGGCATAGTTTGCATCACAAAAGCCTTCTAGCTGCAAATCTACCCCGCCATACTCAAGACAATAGTCGGACGAGCTTCTCAATTAGTATATAAGCCACTTGACCGCACCCCAGTATTGTTTCCCTGCATTGCTCATGAAGCGGCTCACAACTCTCACTCCTTGTGTAATATCTGGTCTCGTGCACACCATCGTATACATCAAACTTCCAACGGCAGATGCATATGGTATGTTAGCCATGAACTCAAGCTCTTCAGTAGTCTCTGGTGCTTGGGGTCTTCGATAGCTTGAAATGGCTCGCAAACGACGAGCCCATCGGTTTAGCTTTCTTCATACCAAACTTTTTAAGAATCTTCTCAATATAGGTCTTCTGAGAAAACCTCAGCCTCTGTGTTGATCTGTCTCTGATGATTCTCATCCCAAGAATCTGGTTTGTTGGACCCATGTCCTTCATCTTGAAGCACTTGGAGAGACGCCCCTTGAGTTCATCAATGCGGGCCAAGTCGGGCCCGACAATCAGTATGTCATCAACATAAATCAAGAGTATTACATAGGATTCATCATATCTCTTGATGAAGTAGCAGTGGTCTGTGTCGCATTTGAGAAAACTGTTCTCTTTTATAAAGTTCTCGAACTTCATGTACCACTGTCGCGAAGATTGCTTCAGGCCATACAAGCTCTTGCGCAGGCGACACACGAGGCCCTCCCTGCCTTGTTCCTCGAAACCCACTGGTTGATGCATATAGATCTCTTCCTTCAAATCTCCATGAAGGAATGTTATCCTCACATCCATCTGCTCTAGATGGAGATCTCAAATTGCCATAATGCTCAGCACAGTCCGGATCGTGATCAACTTGACGATGGGAGCAAAAACGTCAGAATAGTTTATCCTTGCTTTCTGCTCATAGCCCTTCACTACAAGCCTTGCCTTGTAGCATCTCCGTCCATCGGCTTCAACCTTGACCCGATAAATCTACCGATTATGAAGAGTCTTTCACCCTCTTAGAAGCTTTACGAGCTCCCAAGTCCCATTCTTCATCAAGGATTTCATTTCTTCCTCCATGGCAGACTCCCACTTGCCCCGAGCTTTGTCGATCTGCTGTATCTCCTCATAGCTCTATGGCTCACCACTATCAGTCAGAAAAAGATAATTTCTGGTGGAAAGGTACCTCTCTGGCACCCTCGAATTTCTTAGAGTTTTGCAAATTACGATCGACAACTCTGCTGAATCCTGTTGTTGTGTATCCGGCACGTTCTCTTGGTCTCCGTCTTCTATGCTAATTGGTATCTTACCGCCATCCTCACTGTCAGCAATATCTGAGAAAAGAGGGATAGATATCTGACTCCCACTCGCCTCTTTGGTCTTGTACATCGTATTCTCATGGAACACGACATCACGACTGTGCACCACCTTGCGCGCATCATGATCCTAGAAACAATACCCATACTCATCTCCTCCATAACCGATGAAAGAGAGCTTCTTTGACTATGGATCAAGCTTTGACCGGTTTGCAGAATTAGTCATGATATAGGTGTCACAACCAAATACTCGTAAGTGCTCTAACTTCAGCTTCTTTCCGGTCCAAGCCTCCTCAGGTATCCCATAACTGAGAGCTGTGGATGACCCGCGGTTGATTAAGTATGTCGCAGTATTGACAGCTTTGGCCCAAAAACTCTTAGGTAATCCGGGGTGGATCCTCATACTTCTTGCGCGTTCCAAGATAGTGCGATACATACACTCTGCTACTCCATTATGTTGAGGTGTGCCTAGGACAATCTTCAGTCTCCTAATCCCATAGGACGAGCAGAAGTTCTCGAACTCCTGGCTGCAATACTCGCATCCATTATCAGACTTTAGGCACTTCAGCTTATTGCTTGTTTCGTTCTCCACACAGGCAAGCCACTTCTTGAATATGATAAAAACATCTGACTTGTGCTTTAATAAGAACACCCATAGTTTTCTAGCATCATCATCAATAAAAGTGACAAAATAAATAGAGATGCCAACAGATGGGACTTGCATAGGTCCCCACACATCGGTGTGCACCAATTCTAATTTTTGTAGTTTTAGAGCCAGTCCGGTATTGAAGCTCACCTTCTTTCGTTTGCCTAGGATGCAGTCCTCACAGAAAGTCAGATCGATCTTGCTTAGACCCGAAAACCTCTCTCCTGCATCCATAATCTGCATCCCCTTCTCGCTCATGTGGCATGGTCATCGATGCTAAGTCATGCAGTCGACGGATGATGATGATGATGCTTGTCCTGCGGCAAACAAGTGGTCGATCTTCCCATTGGCGATGTAGAGAGACCCCTCGCGTCTGTCGTTTGCCACCACCAGGGCACCCTTGGACACATTTTAGCTTCTATGCTCAAATGATACTCTGTAACCATAGTCAGTTAATTGCCCGACTGAAATAAGATTTTGCCTAAGATCCGATACATGTCGAACGTCGTTCAGCGTCAAGGTGGTCCCGCCCTCCATCTTGAGGATACAATTTTTCTTCCCAAAAACCTTACAAGGTTGATCGTCGCCAAGATAGACTGTCCCTAAGTCCTTCTTCATAAACGATGAAAGCGGCTTTTGTTGTGAGGTTGTGTGGAAAGATGCGCCGGAGTCGATAACCCAAGCATCGCTTTTGTCTTCTAAGGATAGGAGAAGTACATCCGAATCCGTCTCATGCATGAGATTGGCTGCACCGTCAGCCCGATCATCCCCTGCTAATGCTGGAACAGAAACTCATCGCTTTTGTCTTCTAAGGATAGGAGAAGCGCATCTGAATCCGTCTCATGCATGAGATTGGCTGCACCGTCAGCCCGATCATCCCCTGCTAATGCTGGAACAGAAACTCTGCAGTCCCGTGCAAAGTGACCCTTTTTCCGCATCTGAAGTACTTCCTTTCACCGTAACTTTTCAGGTTTGGCCCTTTAGACTTTCCTCTGGATTTTGATTGGCCTCGTTGTCCCCTACCCTTCTTCTGCGCACGCCCTCGTACCTCGACATGCAGAGCACTCCCACTTCTAGAGGCCTCAGCTCCTGAGACTTTATGGAGAGATTATTCATCCAGAATTGCCCCAATCACTGTGTCAAGCTTCATCTTGTCATTGTCATTGCGTTTCTCACTGCCACCATCATATTCTACTGCATAAGAGTTTGGATCTCATTGTTGAACTTGAGATCTACTGCAGCAAGCTGTTGCACCACAGCCCGAAATTCATTCAAGAAGTCCGCCACATGAGCTCCTTGCTACATCTTTAGATTGAACAGCGTATTCATCAGGTACACCTTATTTAAAGCAA